AAGCACACTTGGATAGCCACAGGTTTTTCACGCTTTTCCCTGTGTTGGGTATGCACGGAAGAGGTTATACGCCGTAAGGATTAACCTCGAGTGGTATCTGCAAATGAAATCTGAGTGTGAGTGTTCTAAATGTCAAATTGAATCGTCCTACTCAAAGTACGTATCTTCCGATAAAAACCTGCATGGGCCTCAAGGTGCCAAATCAGGTAAAAATGAATTAAATATATATATATATATATATATATACAACGCTAACGCAGTTTGACATTTGGACTACTCATGTAGTGGGTGCATTCGTTGATACCACACGAGACCTTGGTGCCAGGGGCTTTCACCCTTCCCTCAACCGTTAATATCCACCAAAGGGAAAACATGAAAAACCTTTGGCTACCCTGACATGCCTTTGCCATCTTGTATGTAGCCGCCGCGCGAGATATGGCCTCGCAGTCCTCCCTTTATCGAGTGAGATAGGTGTCAAGGCTACCCAGACTTAAATTCGGGGATATGACGACCAGGAAGCGGACCAAAACACCTTCCATCGTTGATTATTCTTAGAGTGTTGGTTGCGCTTTCCAAAATCGTTGCTTCTGCACCCACAGACAATCTTAAGTCGAATACACTCGAAAAATGTACGTCCCAGCATGCCCATTTGTGACCTCTTCACTCGTTCGTCCCACGTACCAGCTGCCTGTCCTCCCTCAAGATGTGAAGCCCCATTAGAGCAACGGTCCCCCATATACCAAGACCCGAGCTTTGTAGATAATGACTTGAATTACTCCTCGCGGGTATACATAGCATCGTAAATTTACAGTGGGAGCTGGCTGGTTTTTGATGAGGCAAATGCCCAATTGCAATTGGAGTAACGCCATTATCTGTACTTGAGGCGAGGCGGTGTAGTAAGATTGAGGTAGAGGACTCGCGTGAGAATGATAGGTCTAACAATTGTCAAGAAGCCGTCAATTTTTGATATGCTTGAGGTTGTTTTCGACTTCGATTCGGATTCGATTCCTCTTGGCCATCCCAGATATGCAGAGCACACTGAGCGATTACACCGGCACCACTGGAAGGTGAAGAATTTGTCTATGCCGGCTTTCGACGACATCTTTGCTCCTGTTTAAGGCATGCAGAGTTTCTCTCCAGTTTTCGAGCAGCCTATTATTGCTACAATTCGATCATTTTGTCTATTGAATAGAGAATTCAGCTTATAGTCTGGCGCGCTGGACCCTCTTTTGCTTCAGGCATACTATTAAGGAGAATATACGATTTTTGCTCTAGTACTCTGATGCTAGTAGAATTATTATATATATTCTTGTTTATTGCCTGATGCAGTTCCTATATACAGATCCATACATGCGTAACGCTATATTGTTTTGGGAAAAAAGTACGAAAGTAAAAGCCATTGTGTGCCACTAGTGTACGCCTTGGCTCTATGAGCAAGGCGTTCATCTTTACTGTTAGAATATGATTCCTCTGGACGGGTAATACAGTAGTACTGTTACTGGAATATTTGGAAGTAGATTTGATAAAGTATAGGGTTAAATCGTTGCGTGTGTCTTCGTCTCTAAGTCTACACGCTTAATAGAAGTATCGCGATCCCGCACCGTCTAATCTATCGCTCCTAGTCTCATCCACACGCTAATATGAAACTACTAATACAGGGTATATAAAATCAACAGACGCCTTACCCTTTTTAACTCCTAGGCAACCAATAACCACAGGAGGGCAAGACTGAACACCTGTACGCGGTGTCCTCTACGAACCTGGGAGTGAAATATTCTCCCAGAGCCAAGTTCAGTCAAATTTCGCAATATCAAAGAAGTTGGCCCACGAGGCAAAAATTCAAATTACTCCACCATGTCAATCTTTCACTCCCAAAGAGTCCGATTCTCAACTAAGCTTCATCAAGTCTACAAGTACGACCTAGTACATCCTCGTTTCAATGACCACACCTCTCGTCGACTTTCTCTGGCCTCAGCTGGTTACCAAATACACGCCCACGCCGATATTTATACCCAACGGAGGAAGCAAAGCGTGGAGCACAATTTTGGGAGATAGCTCTTTGGGACGGACGTGAGAGGGATCAGGACAAGTTCACAAGATGATGCAGAAGAGGGATACGTTTTCGACGGGCGTGGAATTTTGAATTTTGGCAAGAGTTTTACGAATTGGGCTTTGTGCGCGCCAAGACTTCGCTTGCGAGAGTGCAGCTGACACTATAAAAACAAGCAAACGATGGAAGGTGTTGTGGTCCGCCTCCTGGTGATGTTCTCTGGTATGGTTTGAGTAGCCTGGGCACCTACTCCACTTGGGAAGGAGACATCTCAGATTACATTTCGCGCGGAGAAAAGTTGATGGATGACAGAGGCATGTCTGGATAACTCAGGGTTTTTGAGACGTTTCCCTGGGTGGGTATTCACGGATGAGGGTTGACTTGGGGTGAAGAAAAAGCCACCATAACTTCGCAGTGGTACTTGCAAATGAAATCCGAGGCATGAGTGCTCCTATTATAAACTGAGTCATCTTTTCTGTACTTTTCTCTGATATTGTGTCATAGCTAGATAGCTGCATACGCAATTAAAATCTGATGCAAAAAAAAAAAACCCAATAACCACAACCCTAACTCCATTATGTTAAATTGTAGGGAAGATTATGTTTGACCAACCCATCTTATAATTTAACATTTACTGCTATTTCTTCTAATACCATCTTGTCCATTACCCCCTCCATCGCAGAAGAGTGGAGTTATTTTAGCTTCTGAAATTTAACGAGTTCCAGTTTTCCGTCGTCAATTTGACTTGCAACTTCAAATTGCTCCAGGCGATTACTGTATATTTGCATACGAGCTACGGCTCAACGCCCTCGTGGATGAGTTTCTTTGAAAAGTCTATGGATTTTGCGTCAGAGAACATGCGAGACTGAAGTGCTGAATGATCCGGATGATAGAATAGAATGTATTTAACTGTTTGAGAGCTTACACTACAACTACACCTCTATTTTGCATCAGATTTGAATTGCATACGCAGGTAGCTAGCTATGACACAATATCAGAGAAAAGAACAGATCAGGTCAGCTACACCTTTGTGTGAGGTCAGAGACCTGTTCAGAGGCAAGTTATGGCTTAATACAAATTATGTGGCTCCATGCAGAGCGAGTATCTCTTTGGACAGTACGTATTCAGGGTTTAGCTGTGCACACTGGTTTCCTGAAAAGCGATGAGAAGGCGTTTTTCGGTATCTACTATATCTATGAACGGTCTAAAAATCTCATAGTTACTAACCCCATAGTTAAATTCTACTATTGAGAAGATCTTCACATGTGCTGTAACTCCTGAGTGATACAAAACACTCCAGTTTGGGTAGCCATAGAACCTATAAATGAAGTCGGGTGACCAATGTTTAGAACGGGAGTTGCTGATAGATAACTATTGGTAGCCTCTTTCCTCGGTCAGCCCTATCCTCTTCGTGGCTCACCGCCTGTACTGGAAGCCGTCGCAATTCTTAGTTTCTGGATGGTAAACACAAAGCCCTGGTCCATCTCCACATCTATCAAACTGAGCCTGAGAAGACCTGCAAATCCTACGTATTTGTAGACTAATACAGGAGAATAAATTGAATTAATTAATCAAACTGATCCTGGTTGTTTTGGAAAACCCTCCCTACGATGATCGGTAGTTCTAAGTAATTCTTGTATTGATCTTTGTACACTGGCCTTGAAGACTTGGAGCGTTTAACGAGTTAACTATTACCAGGAGTGATGAGCTTTTCCGCAATAGTAGCAGGAAATCTTTTCCATCGGTCAGTCACTTGACTGGTGATTTCCAGCGCATCTCGCTGACTTATTGCATGGTACCTGTTTGTGGCCCCATTGAATACAATTACAACCCCGCTTCATTTGTGCCCTCGAAGCCCAAATCTGGGCCGAATATAGCTTTGCGTTCAATACTATTCAGTTCCAAACAAATCCCCTCTATAAGCTTCTGATGGTAGAATTAGTACCAGAGTTCCCTTTATGTCCGTTCTTCTCAGCCCATTCGTGCTCTTTACCATCATACAGCCATAGAATTCTATAAATCCAGAGCCCTAGAAGTCTGACCTTTATCGCCGTTTTAATTCCTGGAGCTAGCAAGTTGTTATCCGTATTTCGCCCTTCCTGTACTTTATTCTCTAATGGTGCAACAGGATCTGCACAGGATAATACTAGCGCAATATTATAAATTTTGCAGGGAATTGCATTCTTAAGGCTGCGTCGCGCTGAGATGCCGTTTAGACGAAACCTTTGCGGCCTGGCTCCTCGTTTGATTGACTTAATATGTCCCGAAGATGTGGTAAGAGCAACTGACAGCAGTTCAGAAAGACGAATAACATTTACAGCCTCCACTCTAATTTTGACAGCAGGACACTTCTTTGCTGGCAATGCAGCAGCGGCGTTAGAAGGTTTTCCCGCCGCAGCCGAGGGTATGAGCGTTGGGCCAGTTTTGTGGAGTGAGCCCTGAAGATCCTTCTCGACCTCTCTCTTCCAGGCAAACATTCGCTCCTCTATGGAAGTTTCCTTCCACGAGACATCATGTTCCGTCTTGGGATGGGATTTTAAGGCTTCAATCATCTTGTCCAAGTCAATGGCTGCGATCCCAAGAGTAGCCAGGGCGATATCTACAAGACAACCCTTGACCTTGATCGGAAAAGCCTCAATTTAATCTGTTTCGGCACTTTTATTTGGTTGAGAATGTTCCCCTGCACCTTGAGTATCCGTTTGTATCACGCTGCGCGACGTATTTCAGTCCTTTTCCCTGTCTGTGAGCTCTCAGACCACCCATTGTCAAGGATAAATTTAGAGATGAGGCACGAGGTTAACGAGCTGTGTGGAATCTATTTCTTTGAGTCGGATAGTTTGATAACATTCGTGTGACCTGTTTGGGCAGCTTCAGCAGCTTTATGTGTCGTAACTGAATGCCTCAATGTAAATTCCCGTCGGCCCCTCTGCTCTCACATTTATGCACAGGCCTATCTTGACGTCAGTCCGAGGGCAGCTTTGACATCTGCCATGGTTTTGATCCCTGTCGAAATCGCTTGTTCGAGTCCACGAGAGGCGACTTTCTCAAGGTAATTATCATTTGATATCAGCGTGTTGTAGCGCTCTCGAATAGGTTTTATATTTTCCTCTATCGTTTCGGTCAAGTGATGCTTTAAATCACCCAAACCAAGACCTTTCATGTCTTCGGCCAACTTTTCTGGCGTACGGCTGGATACGTCAAATGCACTGAATATTGAGAGGAGGTTGGAGACGCCGGGGCGGGAATCTGGATTCCAGCTAATAACATTCTCTGAATCTGTAACGGCATGGTTTAGTTTCTCCCTGATTTCCTTTTTCGTATCTGTCACAAGTATCCGACTGTTTCTGGCTGCGTGAGATTTCGACATTTTTTGGCTTGGGTTTGCGAGAGATCTAATGCGAGTCGTCGGAGCTATTTCAGAGCGTTAGTATCAATTTAAAGAGTGAGTGATAGAAGGACGTTACAGTGTAGAGTCTGTGGCTTGACGAGAACTGGTGAGTAGGTGGCATTAAAATTTGTTACACATTCACGCGCAAATTCTAAGTGTTGCGCTTGATCAGCGCCAACCGGGACATGTGTAGCTCTTTAAGTTTGTTAGCTTGAAAAGATAGCACGACGAGAGAGCAATACCTGTGAATTAGAATATCCGCTGCTTGAAGCACAGGGTATGAGAAAAGACCAAGCTTTGCCTTAGCCGTGATACCATTATTTTCCTTAAAAGTAGCATTCGAATTGAGATTAGCCTTGCTCTGTGCATGTTGATTAGCGCTTGATCTGTGATAGTAATGCTAGCTACAATATTTTCAAGATAGGGCTATAACATCTCACCTTCCACTGTGTCATACGTGAGAGATATCCTAAGCTTGCGGTGCAGCTCAAAATCCACATCAATTCCGTGACCGTTCCAAACTGTACTTTTTATCAGCCCCATGAAAAATTTCGCACCAAGTCTTTTCATTCCGTGCAGAGCTTGGTTTTTGAATTGTAAATAAAGATAACTGACTTCTGATTGCATAAAAATAGTACATCTTGTTTCATCTAGCCCTACAGAAAGCATGCTAGCAAGCGTTTGTAGGCGGGACTTCCTTAACAGCTCTGGCACCTGTGGAACAGTTACTTCCGGCAATCAGCTCATCGTTTGCCTACAGAGTGAAGTGGATGGCTTACAAGCATGTAGGTCTGCAACACTAAAGATAAGTTTAGTGGAGGGTAGTTCAGTTTTTTGGAGGTGGACCCAGAACTTCATAGCGCCGAGATAGTTTCCCAAGTGTGGGATACCGGTTGGTTGAATAGCTGAGAAGATGGTTTTTGGCACTGGATCAGTGACCTCAGCGGTATGGGTAGAAGGAATCTGACAAGCAGAGGTTTGCAAGCAGCGAGATATTTTCATCTGAGAGTTTAATGTCCTGGACGTGGCGAATCCAACGCCTCGATACATCTCTAGATGGTATCGTGCCATGGATAACCTGATCTCTGCTTCACCCAAACCTCGAATCGTAGTTTGTCAAGAATTTCGAGCTTGTGGGGCTCACTAAAGTAGGAGAGAAAAGCGTAACAAGGATCTGGCAGTTGGTAAACATTCCCGTTGTTTGGCTTAGTAGATAATCAGGAACGAGTAGCAGTGCTGTGAGAGCATAGGCGTTTTTAGATTTGGTATTCATTTACGGGGCCTGATGGTGTAGTGGTACACCAGGCTGGCCGTTCGCCCAAGTAAATCTTGATTAGTTTTGACCACATTCCCCGATCAATATAAGAGAAATCTGATCCGCATCAGGATATACATATGCACATCTCTTGCGGCTCTATTATGCATAAATGACGAAAGCATGCCTTGATAATCAAAGATTTTGAAATTTCCTTTAGGGGGTACTGACGGAGGAGGGTCGACTGTTTGTATAAGCGAACATACGTCGTAGTGGTATTTGCGAATGAAATCCAGAGTATGAGTGACTCTGACGCTAAAAGGGTCATACCTAGATAGCTGAATAAACTTTAAGTGATTGAAATGAAGAAAAAAATGGGACATGTGCACGGGATTCCGCAATAGATTCTGTACCACTAGGCTACGTTTGCCACTAAGAAGAACGTAAGAAAGAAAGAATCGTATTCCAAAGGGCGTAAGCAGACATTTGCAGTATGCGTAATCCCCTGCGATACTTAATAAGTTTTTGGGTACGTTTTAAAAAATCAAGTGATCTATATAGACTGAGCTTATTGGTACGCTACTTTTCGTACCTTATTTTACGTTAGATCTAAGTTAGAATTTAAGCAAAAAGAAAAATTTAGACATTTAAACAAGTGAAATAAAGCCATAGTAGAGGTACCATTTAGAGAATCAAGCCCTAATCTGATTACAAACTTATATTTTTATGGAAGAGCTGGCCCTTTGCCCATGAAAGGAATGAGGCCAGACTGAGAGTGACGCTCAACGCGGAGCTCGGGTTCGTGTTGTACAGATGGTAATTGTGCCATCCCCTCCAGTCTCTCGCTTGATATCATAGAGCTATATTTAAAGATAATCGTTTTTCCAATTTTATCCCGAAACGCATAGCCGAACTCCCCACAAGACATCGCCTTTTGTGCCCTTGCTACAAAGTATTTGACTTTATGGACAGGTCTGTATAAATTGCATCGCCCTTCCCTGTAAATTTACAAACGTATTTTATTCTAACGGAGCTTGTCACGTTCTCGAACTTCAAATATACTGATCTTACCACTATTAATTTAAGGGTTTTCGCCAGTTTGGTGTGCTCATCATGGGCGCGCTTCCTCCATAAGCTTGCCACCTATTTTCGGCATTGACAATTTCAATCAAGTCATCTCCTAGCTTGCTACCTTTTTTGAAAGCATACTGTGCTAGAAGTGGCTCTATTTCGGGACGATTTTGTTCGAGGGCGGCATCCATGTCCTTAGCCACGTCTATGTAAAGAGTCAATGTAGGGGTTCTGGTGAATAACCATGAAAACCAAGGAGTAGGAACTCTTACCGAGCCCACAAAATTCCCAAACGTTCGCCTTCATACCAACTCCATAGTACGCATGTTTTCGCAAAAATCCTAGCCAAAGATGTACAACTTCGGAGTCGCCATCCTTGATTTGTATAAGTCGACGAAGAGTCTTACGTTCATAGTTTTGCTGAATCTTTTTATGAATAAAGTGCGCCTTGGGGACGGTCCAGCGCTCGATGATTCGCGGTAGAGCAACTGGGCCACTTGCGGGCAGATCAAGGAAATATGCAGCTCGAAGTGCAACATCAGCCATGAATTCAAGGTTACGGACACTGTATGAGCGTAGCTGGAGATCACAGACTGGGATCCCATAAGTAACTTTACGACGTAAAGGTCCGAGGTAAGCCGCTTGAACTGCCCTAGGTAGACGAGGCTCCGGGTCTTCAAATGTGTCATCAAACTCCTCTAAGCTGCTGTTATCGTTGTTTTTCTCCTGCTTCTCTCTGTCCGGCTTATTTTTTGGTTCGCTTTCGGAATGAGATGGCATGTTTTCCGTCTGCGATTCATCTTTCTTCTTTAATCCAAAGCTAGCGCCCATATGAAACGGAGTTTCCGAGGCGGTTGGAGTTAAATTTTGCCTGATTTTATTTGCATCTGCCAGCATGCGATTGCTCTTCCTACTACTCCCATGGCTCGTGTCTGCGTATCCTCTCAATACACTATTCTCGATAGTTGCGGTAATCTTGCATAGTCCCAAAAAAATGCTCCCCGGTGTTTTCTGTATCTGGGGCATAAGTTAGCCCAGGCTAATTCTGGGGTTTAATGGGTATTGTAGAGATAAATGTTGGTTCAAGGTTACTCTTGACACCAGCAATACTAACCAGAGGCCGATTGAGTGAGGCTATTTTCCTGAGATAGGGCTTGTTCAAAATAATTGGAGCGGCCATAAAGACCTCTGATTGTTTTAAGAAATTGAAGAGGTTTTTATGGATATTTTGTTTGAAATGACCTTCTACAACTCTATGGGTATGACTGATGAAGTTTGAGTCACAGATGAGCGGACAAACTATCTTCCGAAACCAAAATCATTTAAACGGCCGACTGGGATCACACTGCTGCCCTGAGGATGCCTATTTATATTGTTTCCATCATTTTTCTGCTCTATTGGTACGCATTGCCTTTGTTCAAGAAGAAAGTCTCGTAATTGTAATCCATTTATCTCTCTTTCCACGACATACCATGAAAGTCTTATCAAGTAGGACAAAGAGCGAATAACTGTCTGCGGTAGACTCTACGAACCTGGGAGTGAAATATTCTCCCGAAGCCAAGTTCAGACAAGTTTCGCAATATCGAACAAGTTGTCCCACGAGGCAATAATTCAAAATACTCCACCATGTCAATTTTTCGCTCCCAAAGAGATCGACTCCTACCCAAGTCTCATCAAGCCTACAAGTACGACCTAGCACATCCTTATTCCAATGACCACACCTCTCTTCGACTTTCTCTGGCCTCAGCTGGTTACCAAATTCACGCCCACACCCATATTTTCACTCAACGGAGGAAGCAAAACGTGACGCACAAATCTGGGAGACAGTTTTTTGGGATGGACGTGAGAGGAATCAGGACTAGTCGACAAGATGATGCGAATGAAGGATATAACTTCGAAGGGCATGAAATTCCGAATTTGGGCAAGAGTACTACAAATTGAGCTTTGTGCGTGCCAAGTCTTCGGTTGCGAGAGTGTAGGCGACACTATAAGTACCGCTATGGTTAGATGTTGCGGTAGTACATCGTCTTGGCCGGTCTCCCAAGTAGAGTCTGGAGCCGACAAAGACGAATTCTTCACCTTCCAGTGGTGCCGGTGTAATTGCTCAGTATGCTCTGCATATCTTGGATAGCCAAGAAGAATCGCATCCGAATCGAAGTCGAAAGCAAACTCAATCATATCTCCATATGACGACTTCTCGACAATGCCTCTCTTGTCATTCTCATCTGAGTCCTCTATCTCTCTCTAACCACGCATCATCTCGCCTCGACGACCAATAATGGCGTCACCCCAATTGCAAACAGGAGCTTGCCTCAATCATTACCGGCCATCACCCACTACAAATTTACGACGCTACTTATACCCGCAAGGAGGAAATTAAGTCATAATATACAAAATTGGGGTTTTGGTTTATGGGGGACTGATGCTCTAATGGGGGTATACATCTTGAGGAAGGACAAGTGGCTGAGATGTGGAGCCGGAAGGGGAACAGGTCTCTGAAGATTATGCTGGGACTGACATTTTCGAGGAGTTTTCAACTTTTGATTTGTTTGTGGGCGCCAAGACCAAGATTTCGGCTAATTAGCCAGGAGGGCTTCTTTTGTCGATGAGTCAACGGCAGTCCCCAACGCCCTGGACGGCACAAAAGAATTTGGGCTAAGCTACTACACAGCAATCACGCTCTGTCAAGACATTTCTGACTTTTCTGACATTTCAGCACAATCTTCGGGAATGAGTTGGAAGGAGGCTAGAAAGGCAGAGTGTGAATTCTCCGAGGTACCCACAAGTCTGCAGCGCCCAGCTGGCCGGCCTCTTCGAACGCTTCAGAAGGGTCACTATATCTTCAGTTTAGTCCTAATGTCGGTATTGGGAGGGCTCCGCACCCAGTTTGTTTTGCGATTTTTCCCGGCAGCCATACACCCGCAAATGGTCATCATTTCGTTGGCTGGAGAGGGGGGATAATGAAGGGCTAAGGGCTCATCTAAGTGTATGATCGAATGAGGACTTGTGAGGGGAGCTGTATGGGAGGCATAGGAGGGAATATGCTACTGGTATAGGTATCCTTGGCCTGTAGGCAGAGATGACCTGCATGTCCTACATAGTCATAGACTCAGACAGGACAATAAAATGAATAAAAAAAAAGTAGAGTCTGGATGGCTGGGACACATATCCCACTCGAGACAGTTGATCGCTGGTTCAAATCTGGCAAAACACAGCCACATTTCTCGCGGCGCTGGTATATATGGATGACGAAGGCAAGCTTGAATAACTAAAGGTTTTGAAAGGTCCCTTTGTTGGCTACCTACGGATGAGGGCCGACTGTTTGTGAAAACAAGCATACCTCATAGTGGTAGTTGCGAATGAAATCCAGATTATGAGTGTCTCTAACGTCAAAAGTGTCATCCAACATGTATACATAGCACCGGTCGTGTGTCATAACTCTGTAGCTGAATACACACCAAATGATAAAAAAAAAACACTTCAGTGGTACAAGTTCAATCTAAGGTGTATGCTGATGTCCACCTTACACAAGCACTTACTAAGCGTCTAACCTGGTGCAAGAGCTAAACCAATTTGCCACATCCCACTTACATACATGGCTGGGCCCATAAGTCAGCCCAGCCAATTAATACCGGGTAAAACTAGCAATATGTAGTGCCACCATGACGGTTATGGCCGGGGGATGGCAGGGATACCTGTGACTCGGAGGTGATGAACGAAAGCCTAGGTGATCTGGCATGGAAGCAGGGATAGGAATCGAGGCTCGGGCGCGTGGTGGCCGAGGCGGAACGATGGAAGGGAGATTGTCAAAGTTTTTTCTTTTGTAATGCAGGACTTTGCGTGGAAGTTTTCTTTTGTTTTGTTTTCAACTCTGGGCTGCTGTACTCGTCATGCTTCAACACATAGATGCGTTTCGGCATGGTTCCGGTCATTGAGGTGGGACGAGGCACTTGTACTTTACGGTAGTTAACCTGATCCGGCCCGACCCCACTCGTGCTCAAGCTCCAGTAGGAGTGCGACGGTAGTTACTTCACCTAGCACGTTAATGAACAAACAAACAAACCATGACGGTTATCTTCAGGCATGCCCACAGATAGGCTCAAAAACAGCTTTCCTCGTAGAGTGTACTCACTACATGATAACACGGGGAAGGTTCTAGGTTGAGATGTTGGAGTAACAAAGGGGGGAAAAACTGGGCTTGACCCTCACGACCAATAGTCCTTCAATTGTGATATCTCCTATGAAAATTTAACCCATAAATTAAGGACCCGATTATTCAGGTCCGTAGATAGTTACTCACAGCCTAAGACCTCAATTTAAAATCTTTTACGTGATAGGAAGAACCTAACATATGTTTAGACGTGACACGGGTAGATGGGCTCTGAGAGCTCATTGCTACCTACATGACCGGCATTGAAGCCAGATGCGAGAAAAGAAAAGAGGGAAATAAAAAGAACAGTATATGTCTGAGTTACAGTGCCCTGCGCCGCATCCCTCTCTTCCATACCCATCTCCTCCTGGGTCAGAAACAATCTCAGCGTAGTCCCCTCCCACCTTGTTCATTCTGCGGCAGACTGTAATATCTGCTTGTAGTTAAGAATTGAATGAACTTCTCCCATAGCTTCTCCACTGGGCGCAGCTGAGGTTAGTGACTGGTTATTGGGAGCTCCCAAGGCTGATTTGGCCAGCTTATCGGCAGTCTCATTGCCTTGGATCCCCACATAACCCGGTATCCAGCGTATTTCCACACGCTTATTGTGTCTCAGCGACGAAAACACTCACGGTCTAGGACTCAGTAGAGACTTGAATTTAAAACAAACAATCAATCCCTGCCACATGGTCCCTTGGCATCAGGCAAGTGCCGTACCTGCCAACCACGCATCCTCGCTAATCAATCAGCCGCAGCTGCTACAGAAAAATAACCCAGTGCGAATAGAGTTTCTTTTCAACCGTATAAGTCACTAGCGTCAATCATGGGAGCCTTCCTGGTGATGGGCGAGCTGCAAAGTACCAGGGCTCTCAATGCAATGAACGTAGTGATGAGCCGGAAACGTCAACACCTACGTAAGCTTGGCGAGAAAGAGAATGAGCGCCGTAGTTTATTCTTATGGAGAGTCTTGGGGTTACGAAGACGGTGCAAACAGCTTAGGATGTTGTGCAATAGTTTTCTTTGGCGGCCATCTATGGATGACCATGTAATTTGTCGACGCAGACAGCTGGGGATCTCGACCTCGCCCTCCAGAGTTCTATGGACCACAAGCACCAAGTCAAACCCAACGGGTTAGTCACTACTGCTGTGGCCCCCCAATGTCTATCGCAGTGGAAGTAACGTGATGCTTAGACAGCCCTTGGATCATCAGAGTCTCGCCACATATAAATCTCAGGGTCTCGCATTGACTCTCTCAGTATACGTCCTTCTAGAACCAACCCGCCTTCCTTCATCCACCATGAACAACGCCAACCCAGCCCTTGACCAAATCATCTCTACCACAACATTTCTTGAGGGACGCCTTCCCTCGTCTCTAAAACCAATCCTTGGCATCATTGGTGGATCTGGTCTTTCCGCCCTCGAAGCTCTCATTACCTCAGCTTCGAGTTCTGCAACTGGTACTCCAGTGATCGGCCAGGCGCCAGAAGCCCGGATAGAGATTGACTTCAAAGAGATACCGGGATTTCCAGTGTCCACTGGTACGCCACCACGTCCTGCATTCGGCTTTATCCTATAGTTAACTCCGCGCAAGTTACCGGACATGCAGGAAAGCTAATTTTTGGCTGGATTGTGTTGAAAAATAAGTCAATACCCACTGTGCTCATGAGCGGTCGCGCACAGTAAGTCAAGTCTGCGCGTATATCTTAATACATTCAACCTTTACATGAGAAATTTCGACAGCTTCTACGAGGGTTATGAATTGAAAGTAGCTACCTTTCCGACTCGGGTATTGGGAGCGATGGGGGTCAAAACCTTGATAAGTAAGAAAAAATTCTCTCCTCCCAGTCTGTCAACAACACCACCAATAGATCTTGATAGTATTCTCCTTTCATGTGCAATTAAATTTGGCTTGTAATTATGAGTTGTATATCATGAAAACTAATTCTAAAACTAACCGAATAGTTACAAATGCAGCTGGAGGCCTGAATCCATCATACAATGTGGGTGATATAATGGTTATGAATGATGTATGTTCCCACTATACCTTTGTGAGATTTCTGAGAGAATTGTTTTTGAAGTCTACCTTTTCGCCAATTCTTCATTAACATCATCAAAGCATGTTTCAATCCCATCGCTTTCTGGTGTTGGGAATCCACTTCGGGGCCCCCTTGATGCCCCAGAATCAGCTGGTCCGGGGGTAGGCGGGCCGCGATTTTTAGCTCTGTCAGATGCTTATGACCTAAACCTTCGAGTCGCAACGTGGAAGGCATGGCAGGTTGTATCATCTATGATCCACGAAGAAACACACCCGGAGTGTGGTACTTCTAGCAGTAAGGCTAATTTGCATGAAGGCATATATGCTTTCGTAGGAGGCCCTAGGTTTGTGCTTTCATCTATTATTGAAGACGACATTTACAATGGCAATGGTGTTTCAGGGTTAGTTGTGTAGGGACCTGAAGCTAATTGCTATGTCGATACAGCTACGAGACACGCGCCGAAGGACGTTTACTACGTCTTCTAGGTGCTGATGTAGTTGGAATGTCGACGGTTCCGGAAGTCATTGTTGCACGTCATGTTGGAATGGCAGTGCTCGGTCTTTCTGTTGTTACTAACAAGGTTATTGTTGATAAGACACCTATCGGGAGCGATATCCTAAATGAACATAAGTCTGGAGTTTTGGAGATTACTACGGAGAAAACCAACCACGAGGAAGTAATTGAGGCAGGCAAGCACGCAGCGGTACTGATGAAGGTAAGTTTCCATCGAAAACCATATTCAGACTATGTCACTAATTAACCCTAAGAGCCTTGTTGAAAACCTTATTGAGCAAGCTGAGATAGAGAATAAGCAGTGTTGCTGATGGCTAAGTGATGTTTGTATTTAGTCACTGGGTTCGAACCGCTGAGCTATATTGAGTTCCGGCGCATGTGAGTTATGGTTCGAGTCACCGTTTTGAGATCCTACTTTTGGTCCTTGATTCCTTGAGTTTCTTGTAATGGGACTTTTTACCGCTCGTCTTTGCGTTCTGTATTTCTGTGTACTTTTTCTTGAATCGACCTGTCTTCTTTTCGCTGTTGAGAATCTCTTCTAGAAGAGTACGTTTTCTCTCACGGTTTGTGAGGCGACTACTAAGGTACTCGGTTGGTCCCTGGATGACTGTACCAACTTGAGAGTATTCTGGAATTTTGCCTCTATTCTTGTCTTTCTTATAGTGACGTTTTGGATCAAGGACATCTCGCATTTGAATGAGTTGCAGGTCGCGTTTGAGCTCTGGCGTTAATTTGGTTCGCGGTAGATTGAACCAATCAGGTCCAGCGGTTTCCTTAACATCCTAATAAGTTTAGCTGGAGTAAATAATGATGGGAATCGTGTTAATTTTCTCAGTGTAACTATGAATATAGAACATCATTTTTCGCATGTTAGTGCCCAAGACGGGACCAATTCATGCCTCAAGTTGTTTGGATAGTTTTCCTCATTGAAAATTTTGAGGTATTTCTGTGGAGGTACCTACTTTTTCTTTTGCATGTGTTTGGATGGGGTCAGTAACAACAGTGATTCCATTTGCAGATTTCCTCATCTGAGCGGGGACAAGTTGAGAAGAGTCAAACCGTGGTCCTTGTGATACATTTTTGATGTATGGTTGTACTGATTTTGTGCATTTCATGTGGGGGATCCTTTGGAAATAAGCTTCGGGGACATAGTTTTGAAGGCTTGAACCTACTTCTCGGTTAGATTGCTGGACTTGTGTGATCCGTCAACCTCTTGATTAAGTCGCAATCTTCTCTCTGCATCCTGAAGAAGTGATTGAACCTTCTCTTGGCATAATTTAGACTCGTTCATCTTTGTTGATTAATTGTCGAAGAAGTTGGTAAAGTTGGGCGATATATATCAAATTTTTTATAATCTAACCGAATATGGTCTAGTGGAAAATGTATATCTGGACTGCTTAGCACCACATTGTTCCATGACACAGTTACATGGCAGTAAATTAGGTCTAGGATGGCAAGACTGAACATCTGTACGCGGTGTTCTCTAGGAACCTGGGACTGAGATATTCTCTCAGAGCCAAGTGAAACCAAGTTTCGCAATACCAATGAATTTGGCCCACAAGGCAGTGATTCTTAACACTCCATGTAAATTTTTCATTCTCAACAAGATCGATCCCAACCTAAGCCTCATCAAGTCTACAAGTATGATCTAGTACATCCTCATTCCAATGACCGCCACTCTTGTCTAATCATTTTCTGGCCTCAAATGGCCTCCACGTACATGTCCATAAGAATATAAATACCCGCCGGAGAAGCGGAATTATGGTGCACAAATCTGGGAGGTAGTTTTTTGGGATGGACGTGAGAGGGATCAGGACTAGACCACATGATGACGCAAAGGAAGGATTTGATCGCGATGGAGTTTGAGCTATTAGGACTTGGCAGGGACATTTACGAATTGAGCTTTGTGCGCGCCAAGACTTCGCACGCGAGAGTTTTGTTTTGTTTTGTTCATTAACGTGCTAGGTTACATGACTACCGTTGCACTCCTATTGGAGCTTAAGCACGAGTGGGGTCGGGCCGGATCAGGTTAACTACCGTAAAGTACAGATAAATCTCGTCCCACTTTAATGACCGGACTACCTCAGACTTCACCCATGTCTTGAATCATACCAAGCCTAACCGTCCAGAAACCCGCTGTATACACGCCGTAGCGCAATTTCCTCCTCAGCCTCGGCCACTACGCTCCCGAGCCCTTGATATCCTCATTGACTCCGAAATATGAATACCGTCAAAGATCTCATCGTTGCTCTAGCCTTGCACCTTCATATCGTACCGTTGGGTTGTTTTCGTTATTGGGTATTTGTGTGACCCCATCGGTGTATCTTCCCTTTTCTTCCTCTTTTTTACACGTCCTATTTCCATCATGACTTTCCTCAATAGGGCGTGTGTAGATAGGTGATGTGACGAGTATGGAGGTGGGTCGCAGGTTTGGGATCGACTGAGAAATACTTCGTCGCAAATATAAAAGGAGTTTGAAAGTTGTCGGATGTTTGAATACGACACCAGGACAGACCTAGGCCCATCCGTGAATCGCACGTTGGTGGTGATGAGTATTTGTTCAACTTTGTTCCGGCTGTGAAATCTCTGCCGCCTGATTTTTCGACCAAAATATCGAGTGCAACTCCTTCAAGTCGAGAATCCATCAAAAAAATTTCGTCCCACCCTTTTTCGTGACTGAATCTCGGCTCTGGGAGAATATTTCACTCTCAGGTTCGTAGAGGACACCACTGACAGGTGTTCAGCCTTCGTCCTCCTCGCTTGCGAGAGTGCAGCTGACACTGTTAAAACAAGCAAACAATTGAAGTTGCTGTGGTCCGCCTCCTGGTGGTGTTCTCTGGTATAGTTTGAGTAGCCTGGGCACCTAATCCAGTTGGGATGAGACGCCTAAGATCACATTTCGCGCTGAGGAAAGATAATGGATGACAGAGGAAAGTCTGGATAACTCAGGGTTTTGAGACATTTTCCTGGGTGGATATTCACGGATGAGGGTTGACTTAGGGTGAAAAAAGCCGCCACAACTTCGCAATGGTACTTGCAAATGAAATCCGAGGCATGAGTGCTCTAGTTAGAATTGAGTCATCTATTATGTACCTTTCTTTGATATTGTGTCATAGCTAGATAGCTGCATACGCATTTAAAATCTGATGCAAAAGAAAAAAGCTGTGGCTTAGGCTCTGTGTCGCTTACACTTGTACTTGTAGCGCGAACTTTCCATACTTTTAGCTGTAATCCGAACATGACACTCTTTAGACAACTTCTACTTTCGTTTCATAGATATTGCGCCCATCTCACTGCGCGATATTTCCAAGAATATTAACAATCTATGTTGGTAAGCAACCACATCTAGACCGCAACATTGGTAGCCCCGGTAGCTAGCTAGGCCCTATATTCCATCCCTGCTGTACAGGCCCAGACAGTACGAGCCCAACGGATTAATCCCGTAACACACGGTATTTAAAAATAAGCTTTCTGTCGAAGTGTACCCCCAACTATGTTAGGTATGGGGACTGGGTATTCTCTGAGATTGTGAAGCTATTAGTTTCAATCACGGGGCTAAGATCTTTACCTATTTGCTTCCTGGTGAAGTGTTGAAGCTCTGACTTGCCTTGATCAAAGGTTATTCCCTCTGTCTCACTTCTAGCTAGTGCCTGATTGATTGCAATCTTTAAAATTTCGGCATTATCTTTCAAAGTTGGAGATATCATCAGAACTGCAAGGTCATCATGTTGTGATCTAGGAATAGCTCAGAGTTGTTTATGCATACCTGCATAAACGTTATGCTATGGCGCTTAATAAGGATGTTATTGTAGACTGCTGGACAAACAGGAATAGCCGCGCTATGATTGGTGGGATTAGTATGGTGTGAACCTGCAAGGGTGATAGGAGAGAAATTTAGGTGTGGTCCGAAGTACATTGAGTCGGTTGTACACAACCATCTTCTGTCTGTACATCTTTCTATCTTTCAGCACATCATAAAGTGCGTAGCATCTTTGCTAGTATCTACAATCTACTATCTACAAGCGCAGTATTTATAGACCATACTCCATTTACATACGAGTAGCAGAGTCAGTAATGAACCCCTAGGTAACCTCATCTTATAATACATCAGCATATCCAAAAGCTCTCTTCAAGCCTTCTAGCTTATAGAGAGGAGCGATATAGAGCATGAATAGTATCGGAAGTATTGGAGAGCCTCAAGGAAGCCCACATGTTATTGGTCTTGGTTCCCCAATTTCCGCATAGATGCGGATACAAACTTTGCGTTTAGTAGCAAATGAAGAAACAAAATTGCATAGTTGTGATGGCCAGCCTTGATCCCTTAGACGTCGAATAAGCCAGCCTGGGAGAATTGAATCGAGGGCCCTTTCAATATCAAGTGTGGCTACTGTGGCAGTCATCCCCTTTAATAATGCAGTCTCAATTCTATGAGTCATCGAGGTAGTGGGGTCGATACTTGAACGGAGTGGTAATGCCCCAAATTGGTGTCGAGCAAGCACTTTATACTTAATAGCTATCCACAACATTCGCTTTGCCACTAACCTCTCAAATCCGTTTCCTAGCACAGTGTAACAGTTTCGATATAGAAAGCTTGGGTGTTTGTATGCCAAAAGGTAATTTATTTACTAACTGAGCAATAAAACTACGGCTACATCCAATGCCCTATTTAAATACATGATCCCGATGTCCTGAACGCTAGTAGCTGTCTTCCAGTCGGGCTCCCATTATCCAGGTGTGAGCTAGTTACCATCAGTTTTCGTGCATGGACAGTTCTAAACTTTCAATACGAGCGTAACTTAGCGCTGACCTAATAAATATGCCTGTGCTGAATAGCACAGGCTACAGGCAATCTATCGGCTTACTAGCCGTCACACACAGATAAGAGAGCAATAGGTCGGTACGATTTTTGAGAGCTCATGTCAAGCTTGTTCGGTTTCCCAATCATGGCTAGAATTGCTGTTCGAAAACATCTAGGGCGGCGGCCTGCGTCTATATATGCCTGGAATAGATCTAGAGCTAATTCTGAAATGAGAGACCAGGATAGGCGTAGAGCTGCTGATGGTATCTAATCTTTGCCTGGCGTGGTATTACCAGCTCCGAGAATGGCGTTTGTGATCTCGAGTATGGTAAGATCAGGAAAAGGTAGAGACATTAGTGGGACAGAAGGGGCAGATGTAGTTATATCTTGTTGGAAATAAACTAAGAATATGCAGAACTCTTCGAGTGATCACGGAGAAATAACGAAGTATAAACTTCAGAGGGTATCCGTAGATGTGAATTATGTTTATAGTAAAGGCTTGATCGAAACTCTTGACCTTTACTAATGAATATGAGACTGTCTATATACATTGGTTTCTGGCAATGACATGGGCTAGAGCGTAATGCCTCATTACAGGATACAACGGAAGAAACTACAGATCTCATACCAGCTACGCGTATTTTCGTCGCAGTCTCGAACATCAGACGTGACAAAAGGTAATGGTGTAACTAGTAGCGAATAGGCGACACCCGACAATCTCGATGTACGCATATTGAAATTACAAGCAGAGGGAGTGTCTAAGTGGGTTTCACAACATATCTTTGACCTCTGCCAGGTTGCCAAGGGGATGTCTAGCCAGTAACTCTCTCTTATCTTCAGTTGTCGTGGCCGGTGATGTACCTGGGGAAAGAGGGTATATCAGAGGGAGGTTGCGGAAATCTCCCTTTGACTTACGCCATTTTGCTATACAGAAGTGTCATGAATCTACTTATTGGCAGATTTTCGAAGCTGTTAAGCTGCAGAGGTCGAATCGATTTCGACGAAGACAAATTATCGAAGGTTCGAGGCTCGGATTATCAAAGGTTACTGTTGGAATTTCGCACCAGTTGCTTACTCTAGAGCTACACAATTGTCAATGATGATCGGCAAGGCTGGTTATGAATAACTTGGCGCACAATTGCACTAGACTGAAATTGGTTTTAGCGTCAGACAAAGAACACGAGTAATATGTAGAAACCTAGATGTACATTCTTTAAAAACATTCCGACGAATAATATAATATAATAAGAACGATTTGCGTGAATAATTTATTTGATTGAACTACTACGAAGTACTTTGAAGCTGTGCCTATATTCTTTGAGTGAGTTTCCTCTTAGAACCCATACACACTTTACAACAGTTACGAATTCAGATTATTATATTGTCCAAAGAGCGAGTGCCAAATAAACAAATTGTTAAAAACCAATTAACAAAATTGTTAGAACTAAAAAATAAATTCAAATTTCCAGCCTGAACAAATCTAAATCCTGTTG